TTAAATTTATAATTATTAAAAAATAAATACAAATAGTTATTCTATCCTGAATTCCTGTGACCCTACTCTTGTTTACAGACAATGCTGGCTGGCGGTGTTAAATCAATCGTATGTTTTTTTTACAGTAAAGGAGGCCGGTGTTCTTACTATTAGGGTTTTTTTTTTAATTATAAATTAAAGATCATTAATGGAATCTACTATGGAAAGAATATTCCGTTAGCAATTCTAATTTTTAAGATTATTTTTATTCCGAAAGCAATTTTTAATGCTAGCAAAATATTCCATTAATATTTTTATTGGTATTAGAAATCATTAACGGGATAAAAAAAAAAATTAATGAGTAACTTTTTAAAAATAATATTTTATTAGTTAGAAATCATTAACCCGTTGCTCATAATAAAACCAATGAGCAACGGGGTAAAAAAGCTGTTAACGAGCAACTTTCAAAAGATGATATTCCATAAGCAATTCCATCAATAATTTCTAATAATAACAAAATTCTCTCTAGATACTGATAGAATACTCTTTTAGCATTCCTTAATTTTCTGCTAGTGTTTAACGTAAATAACTTCCTTTTGTTTTTCAATTAAACAAATTATCATACTTTAAATTGCATACTCATATATTTTTTTACTTAATTAACTTATGAGTTATTGCATCAATGAGAACTAAATACCACTGTCTTGTAAAAAAAAATAGGTTGCAGTTGAAAAATAATTTATTTCCATTTTAATTTTGTATTTTTGGAAAAAAATTTAGGTTTTTTTGGGCTAATAAATTATTTTTTTAATTTTTAAGGGTGTTTATTAGATTTTTTTTGTGAAAATCAGGAAAATAAATTTTTAGATAAAAAAATCAACTCAATTTTTATTCTATTTTACTAGAATTTAGATGTTGAGGCGATGCATCATTTGTTTCTTAAAATAAATTAAAAAAATAAAAATTAAAAATCTTAAGATGCACGGGTATACACTAGCAGACTCACATATTTACATTTATTTTTAAAGTTCAATTATGTATCCGATCATTTTGGTGTGATTTCTTATATTTTAATTAATCGAATATTTATTAGATATATTATTTTATTAGATTTTTAAAGTGATTAAGTATATATTTAGATTTTATTTTAGTTATATGTCCATTTTTTTTTATCAGGTATTCGAATGACATTATACTTTTTTTTATTGTATTACCAAGTATTATTTTTCATAAAACCTATCATATTTTTTTTTCTTAAACAAAATTAATATGTTGCTTTATTATCAGATTTTATTTTTTTATCATATAATTAAATAAAATTATTAAATTTAATTAAGTTTATGACTTGAATCGCTAATTTAATATATTAATCCGGGTTAGATAGTTTCGATCAGAAATATCCTTGATTCAATATTAAAAAAGAAAAGACATCATCTTTAAATTTTTATTAATTAATCGTTTAACCCACTTTCAAACCCATGAAGTCAATTGAGTTATATTATATTAATGTGTATATAATTATATGAGAAATTATAGCTAGATAAATAGTTGGGTTGAGAGATTTTTAAGTTGAGTCATGCGAGCTCAATTTAATAATATTATCAAAAAGTTCTTCTTGGTAATATTTGAATATTACATTATTTTTATATTTTTTTAATATATTTTTGTCTAAGTTATCAAGATGTTTTTTCTTTTATAATTCAAAATTTTAAAAGATAAAGTGTTGTTTAAGTATTAAATATTCTGATAAAGATTTTTTTTCAAAAAAAATGTGCATGTCGGTATATTGTTTCCTTATTTTAAATCATTCAATTTAGATATGTATTCTAATTTCTTTTAATTTTTATTAAATGAAAGACATACAACAAAAAGTTAATTTTTTTAATGAAATTAAAAATATTTATAAAAAAGGAAATATAATAGAAAATTAGTTTGTTTTTTAAAAAAATTAAATTATTATTTTTTATAAAACGATAAAAGTACTGAAAGCATGCACACTGGCAGCATCCAGTAGGGTAGATGAAATAAAAATTGACCTGAATTGGCTAAGGATCGAATGAATGCACAACTCCAGCAACCTCAGTAATCCTGTGTTAACATAAATATAGACATTTCAGAAAACAATAGAAATTGGAATAGTTCTACCATCTTCTGTATTCAAGTACCTCCAGTATGTAACGAGCTGCAGCCCGTAATTCATCTCCAACAGAGATACCGAATGAAGGGCCAGCTTGAAATTTCCACTGCATGAAAATGAAGATGGTTTAACATTGTAAAACAGAACAAGATGAGAATGGTTCTAAACTAGAACTGTAAGATCAAAATGGTAGAAGGGATATGCTCGTTCTTTTACTTCACCTCGCCCGACATCACTTCTCCGTTCGTACCACTAATGTTCATGCCGGCATGCCGTCTACTGTGCATCAACAATGCCGAAGGCCTCGTCAACACCAACACCACAGTAGTATGGTCCCCGAGGACCAGGATAACCACCAAGAGACCAACCAATGGGCCATTTAACATCGTTCTGCAGCTAGATCTTTCTTGCTCAAGGTCATTCCTGGTTTTTTATCAGATTTCTCATTAATCATAATTATAAAACACTTTGCAGTTATCTTATAAGAAAAGAGAACGAAGAAAGCAAGGGTGGATTAGGATAAAAAATAAAATAAAATACCATAGCCCTTCAGCAACAACTTCTGGAGTTTAAGCTTCACATATGACCAATCCAATAAACATCAACATCGGAGAGAATGACTTCACGCTATATCAAGTGGAAAGATATAAGGGAACAAAATTGCAGTCACAAGGATGGTATTGCCCCTCTTAAACGGATCTCTGAAAATAGATTGTGGCCTGTTTCATTAAATAAAGGAGGTGTGAGTTCAAAAATATTTAAAAATTAACAAAAAGAAAGCAACATAGAAAAAACTAAAACAGATTTGGAATTCACTGCGCACACAGACTAAAAGAGGTGTGTGTAAAGAAAAAAAAAAAAAAAAAAAAAAACTAAAACAGATTTGGAATTCACTGCACACACAGACTAAAAGAGGTGTGTATTTATTATTTTAACCTTAAAAAACTCATTTACATTATTTTCGGGATTCCAATTGTAATCGGACATCTCTTTCATTATTAATTTGATTAGGATCTAGAACGTGTGTGTGTATAGTGTAATGACTTTGATGCTCTCGATATGCAATAAAAATGGCTTCAATTGAGGTGTAATTTTTAATTTTTAATTAAAAAAAGATAATTAACTACTAATAATTTTTGTAATATTTAAAAAATTAAGACACTTTAATAGATGATACACCTTATTTTCAAATATAAATTAATTAATTATTGAATTGATAATAAATTAAATTATTTAATTAATTTATTTTTATTTAATTATAAATTACATTTGGAACAACATATTAGAAACTTAATACGTTACATACATTAAAAAATTTTAAATAAAATTCAAACTAGGATAATTTAATTAAGTATAATTTGATTAAAATATATTTTAAAAATTAAAGACTAGGATATAAATAATACAAGAATTATATTTTTAGACCTCAAAAAATCAAATAAATACTTGATTAAGTTAATATTATTTTTAATATTTTCTTGAATTGATATACAGATATTATTCAAGGAACAAACATAATTTTGAATTATTTTTAAAAAAAGATTGTTTTTATAGAAATAAAATAAAATAGATAAAAGGCAATCGAATGAATATTTTTCCATAAAATGGAGTTTATTTACTTAATTACCTCTCAAGTTAAGATTTTTTAAACTAGCGTTAAAGGGTTTATTTGTTTTTTTAATTTAGATATTTTGTAATTGTGGGTTAAGACATGGGTAATTTGATATTTAAAAAATAATATTTAAAGAAGAATTATAGATAGTGCATTTTATTCACGGGTGGCACGTGCAGAGAAGATGAAATTGCTTATTCATTAAAGATAGTGTTAGAAAGATGAAAACATTTTATTTTTTTAAAACTTTATACGCTTTGTATTTTTTTTTTAAGGTTTTTTAAAATTTATAACTATCTTGTGCATGGTTGTACACCGATTAGCATGCTCAGGTTGTTTGAGGTTTTTTTTTATTTTTAATTTATTTTTATAACACCTTTATTAGATTGAAATGTATTTTTTTGTTTTTTATTAATGTTTTTTTTATCTTTGTACGCTTGGTATTCCCTTTTTCTTTTTTTAAGGTTTTCTAAAAATATTATAACTACTTCTTGTCAATACAAAGCAGACAATACGTCACCCAAAACTTCATTATAGATGATTGATTTTGGTCATGGAACGATCTTCTATGCGCTAACACTTGAATTACACATGTTAATAGTTTTTATTTTTTAAAATTACCAAACAACCCTTAGGTCAACCAAAAATTAAAAAAAATAACAAAACCCCTCCTTTGGAACTGTATTTATCAATTTTTTTATTCTAAAGACAATTCTGTCACTTTACTATTTTTAAAATTAAAATAAAAAAAATATTTAAGTTGTAAAGAGAGGATTCATCATCCTAAATAAATTAAAAATATATATATTTTATCTATTCTCAAATAGTATTAACTGAAAAAATTTTAATTAAGGTGAAATAAAATTTAAAAAGAATTTAAAATCTTATTTAAACGATAAATGATTATTATATAGAGAATAAACATGATTTAATATGACAAACATACTTCATACTTTAATGTTAAATCAAAATATTATTGATGAAATGATATTAATTACATAGAGAAACTAGTCACTAAAAGATTAAGTCAAACCACTAATGATTTTTTTAATATTTAAAAAATCAAGATATTTTAATAGATGATACATCTTGTTTTCAAATATAAATTAATCAATTATTTAATTAATAGTTGATTTTCTTATACAAGTTTTTGTTTTGAAGTAACCAAAATAACTTAATTGGCTGTTTTATGAGAAGTTTTGAGAATTACGTCTCTCTAATTTCCTTAATTTTATGCTCTTTTTTATATATATGACTAAGTATTACAGTAGTGTTAAGGAAAAATACTACTAAAATATATATTTTATTCTCATTACAAATTTAAGTTGCATACCAACCTTAATCGATTCTAATGTCGGGAATATGAGCTATCTTAGGCCAGTCCTCTCCTAAATCTTTCTCACACCTTTTCTTCAAATTTGGACAGAGCCAAATGGATAGAGATTGGAGAGAAGTGAGATGTTGGATACTCTCTGGCAATGAATTCAGCTCTGGACATCCACAAAGCCGCAAATCCTCAAGTGCCGTCAGATGCCGCACTCCCTCTGATAGAGATGTGAATTTCTCACAATATCTAACAGATAAGCTGCGAAGAGAAGATAAGCCACACAGCCCATCCATTGGCAGACAATTTAATCTTCCACAAAACGCTATCACTAAAACCTCCAAGGAATTGAGGTTACGAAGACCTTCCTCTGGCAAGCTTTCAAGTTTCCCGCAAAACGAAATCCAGAAGCTTTTAAGAGCAGAAAGGTTATCTAATACCCTATTTGACAAAGACTCCAGATCTGGCATCTCCCAAATGTCTAAGCTTTCAAGGAGGGTATGATTTTGCAAAAACCCATCGGGAAGCTCCCTCGCATTTGGAATATATCCAATACAAAGAGAAGTGATAGAAGTGAGATTCCTAACTGACATCAGCGAATAAGCATTACATCCCCCGATGTCTAATTTTTTAAGGGAGGGTATAATTGGTATTTCGTTCAACAGAGGGCAGCGACATATCTTCAATTCTCGAAGGCGAGGAAATGTACACGCAGCCCATTGCTCTAATCCCTCCATTGAATAGAAAGTCAGCGTCTCCAAAGATGGGAATGGATTCTGCCCATCTCCATACACATTGCTGTCAATACTCTTCACACCATCCATTCCATTTAATACAAGACTCTTGAGCAACTGTAGTTTCCCCAATGGTGGAAGTTGTTCACAGTTGGGAAATGCTGATAGCTCCATCTCTACCAGATTTGGTAGCGTCATGTTGAAGTTCATCATCCAATTAGGAAATCTTGAACCTCCATATCCACATATCCTCAACTTCTTCAGATTTGAATGAGGTTGAAGCCCTTCAAGGACCTCCTCGTCATTTACCTGAATAACCCTCTTTCTTTCTTGCGGTGGCCCAAATGACCCAGGGATATAAAGGTAATATCCATTACCATGCCAAGAAAAAGTCAGTGATGAAAGAGCTGTCTTCAACTTCAAATTGGCACTTGTGGCATCTTTTAAATTCTTAACATTCACAAGATCTGCGATACTCAATTCACCAGCAAGATTATTCAGCCCTTCCAGCTCACTTATGCGACGACCATTCTCCCCACCCACAATGAACAGGGCAAGTTTTCGCAGGCATATCAATTGCCCCATTCCAGCTGGCATAAATCGAAGTGAAAAACAACCCGTTATGTCAAGATAGACAAGACTTTTCATGTGCTTCATACCTTTTGGTAATTGGATGAGTTTTTCGCAGCGTCTCAGATCTAGTGTCTGGAGGTTTTGGAGTGAGGTTGTACTTTCAGGCAGTGTTATGATACTGGAGTATGATACATCTAGATACCTTAGATGTTTCAAATCACAAATTGACTTTGGCAATTTCTCCACCAGGACTTTTCTTAAACTCAAGGCTCGATGTTTTGGAGTAGAAGAGCTCTCTCCCCAGCGCTTTTGAATCCAATCATAATCCACCGAAAGACAGGAGCGCAATGATTGAACATTGAGAAGTTTTTTTTCAAGAGATGTTACTCGTCTGCAGTTAAAAGCTACATGACGAACAGTATTAGGAATTTCCAACTCCCCATGGCCTTCGGTGTTATAGCATTCTTGTACTGCTATGGATTGTGCAAGATCATGCATAAGATCATGCATTTTACATGTTATGTTGCCAAATCCATCATCCTCGACCTCTTGCAGAAATGACCTTCCCACCAGTTCATTGAATATCTCAATGCCCATGACGTGCAAATCCATTTCTCTTCTGCAAGAAATAAAGCCATTTGCCATCCACAAAGCAATCAGCTCCTCCCTCCTCATCACCCGATCTTTTGGAAATATAGCGCAATACGCAAAGCATTGCTTCAAATGCGGTGATAGATTAGTGTAACTCAACCTCAAAGCAGGTAAGATCTCGGTTGCTTCTTCTCTTAGATCCCAAATCTCACTTTCTTTGACAGCGATCCACTGATCTTCATTATCTTTCAGCCGCATGAGGTTCCCGAGTGCCTTTATAGCTAAAGGAACACCACCACACTTCTTCACTATTGATATTCCAATGGCTTCCAGGCGTGCCCGCTCCTCTTTCCTTCTCATCACGAATGCAAGCTGTTGAAACAACTGCAAAGAATCTTCTTCAGACAATCTCCCCATGTGCATGACAAAAGCTGTTGCCATTCTAAGAGCAACCATCTCAATACGCGTAGTTACTATGACAGCACTACCTTTAGCGCCACACCTTAATACCTCCTTCATTTTATTCCACCTATCTCCATAATCATCCCACACATCATCCAATACAAGCAAAAACTTCTTTCCATTTAACTTCTGTTGGAGGAGTTGTTGCAAGGGATCCAATTCTTGAAGACCACAAGGGGAACTATCAATGGACTCTATGATGGCTCTTGTTAATCTGCTGAGATCGAAATCTGTAGATACACACACCCAGATCCTCAAATTGAATTGCCGTTTAACACTTTCTTCATTGAAGACCAGTTGAACAAGTGTTGTTTTACCCAACCCCCCCATCCCCCTTATAGCATGAATAGGGAGATCACCTGAAGTAGTGAGCAGCATGTTGATTAGTTCCTCTTTCTCCTTGCCTCTTCCATAAATTTCTGATTCATTCACCGAAGACCAAGTCTGACGCTGAACAAAACTATCTGCTTCCATCTCCATAGCCCCCTCTGTTAGGTGGAAATTTTGTCTCTCCTTGGCAATGGCAGCTAGTTTTTCTCTAACATTCTTCAATTTATGAGCCATCCTTTGTCGAAAAACTAGTGGATTATGACCAAAAGAAAAGAAGGATCTTGCTCGGTTTTTGAGATCTCTTCGCTGCAGAAGCCACTGAGCTTCAATTGCAAACTCATCCAGTACATCATCAACAACATAAGCTGCATCCTTGAGGTCGCTGAGCCACACCTTGATAGGCTCACTCTTCCACTGCTTCTCCTCTGCATCTCGCAGCACAGCTTGAATGGTTCTGAACGTGCGCTTGAGATTTTCAAGCTCGGTCGTTAGGCCCCCAGCAAGTCCAAGCTCTTGAAGAATTGGGGAATTCAAGTTCCCCATGATTGTGCTCGCGAGAGCAGAAAGAATTGCATCAGCCATAGCTTGGTTTCGAATGGAAATGAATTGGATGTTGACAAGAAGAAGTAGAAAAGCTGCAAGGATAACTAAAAGAAGGGGATGGGAGCAAGAAATGGTAAGTAAATATTGAGAAGACAAAGCAGAGCAGTTTGAGATGAGAAACGGAAAAGGTGAAAGTGTTTGGTGATGGGCTTTACCTGTGCTATTCTGTGAGCAATTGAAGATTCATAGAAGGAACATGGCTGTGACAGGACGAAATCTGTCAAATGAAAACGCAAGATTGGTTATGGAAAAGAGAAGTGCACAGGGACAAAATAATTGCTCACTCCCTGGAATAATCAAATATATTAGTCTATCTGGGACATGAATAGAGAAAGGTTATTATATTTTCAAATATTTGTGATTCTAGAGTGGTGGTTCAATTTTATCAAAATATTAAAATCGCTGTCTTTTAACTACACTGATTAGGCTCCACACGGTGCAGACTTGACTAACATTGAAGTTTCTGAGCAGCAACACGGCTGTGATTCGAAGACAACATCTCCACTTCCATTGATATAGACAAGAATGGATTCACAAGAAACAAACAAGTCATTCGACTCCCTCTTTCCACATAAGAAAGATGGAAATATATTTCCCCTTTAATAAAGAGCTAAAAGGGCACGGTAGAAATTGCCTCAACATATTGCGCAGGATAACTGTGGTCAAGATTATTGCAGGTTCAGAATCTAACGAACACTCTCTGCTTGAAACTTCTATCCTTTTCTAACGAGAATTTGGAAAAAATAAAATAAAATGGAATGGATTTAGTTTCCCAAAGAATAAGATGGTCCTGCTTGAACTTCTAAACATGGATTAAGGATCAGAATCTGACGAGGGAAACTTGAACATGATATAATGCATAATTTAACAAATGAATCTAATAACATAGTTGAGCCTTGAAGAGATTATTAAACAGACGAGTGTATAAACGAGGAATTTCCACAACCAGATGATATGAATTTCTACAAATATAGGCACACCCTAACTGTAATGTTTTGAATAAATAAGTAGGAAAATACAATAAAGCCCTTGGTGGCTTAAAGTGTAGGTATAAATGAATGAGGGGTAGTGTAGTAATTCAACAAAACTTGATAAATATAAATAGAAAGTAAAAAAAAAAAAACAAAATAAATGATCATGAGGGGTAGTGTAGTAATTCAACAAAACTTGATAAATATAAATAGAAAGTAAAAATAAAATAAAATAAGTGATCTGAAAGTTGAGAGAGAATCGGCAGGGGAGAGGAGGGAGAAAGGAGAAGAAGAGAAAAAGAAGGGAATTAGAAGAAAATAGAAAAGAGTTGAAGGAAATAAGTTTAAAGGTAAGATTATATATAAATATGTGTTGATTAAGTTTTAATTTTGGTTTTGATAAATGTTAGGGTTTTGAAAATTTGTGTTTTGGGTTTGATTGATGAATTAATTGAATTTTATGGGTTGATTGTTATGGGTAATGGATTATTTGGTGGATTTTGAGAGATTGAATTGAAAGATGATGATTTTGAGTTATGATTGTGTTTGAATGGTGAAATTATGTTAGAAATAAGGAAAGAACAGTGGGTTTATGTTGAAATTCTGGGTTGGAGGTTGAAGATGACGAAAATTCATCTAATCCTGATATTCTACCGGCAGGACGTCAGTAGGATTTTCTTCGGTGTTTGCTTTTGATTTCTGTTTGCTTTCGAGTCAGGTGAGTGGATAATTTTCCATATGCATGAGAAATATTATAAATATTTGATTTGTTAATATGAATTGAATCATGCTTCTTGGTAATATATTTGGTGACTAATATCCTTGTTATGATAAGCATGATCATTCGTTGAATCCGAATTCTTGATATGAACCCGTATGTATTTTGGATTGACTTATGAATTGATAGCTCCTCATTTGATTGATGTCATGAGTTGAGCCTTGAGATATTAAATCCTCGGGCACTCTCTGATCCTCAAAAGATTGAAGCAGTTAAGTAGTGGCTTAGGCCTACTTCAGCAACAGAGAGTATAAGTTTCTTAGGTTTAGCCGGCTATTATCGGAGGTTTGTGGAGAACTTTTCTTGGATTTTTGCACCATTGACTAAGTTATCACAGAAGAATGTTAAGTTTCAGTGGTCTGAAGCTTGTGAGAAAAGTTTTTTGGAGTTAAAAGAAAGATTGACTACAGCGCCTATTCTAGCATTACCATTAGGTTTTGGTGGTTACACAGTGTATTGTGATGCTTCGAGAGTGGGGTTAGGATGTGTTCTAATGCAGCATGGCAAGGTTATTGCCTATGCTTCACGGCAGTTGAAGAAGCATGAACAGAACTATCCTACACAGGATTTAGAGATGGCGGCTGTCATTTTTGCTTTGAAGATTTGGAGGCACTACTTATATGGTGAAACTTGTGAGATTTTTACAGATCACAAGAGTTTGAAATATATCTTTCAGCAAAGAGATCTAAACATGAGGCAGAGGAGATGGATGGAAGTGCTGAAGGATTATGATTGTACCATACATTACCACCCGGGTAAGGCAAATGTAGTTGCCGATGCTTTGAGTAGAAAATCATCAGGGAGCTTAGCTCATATTCAGGAGATACGAAGACCTCTGATTAAGGAGCTGCATGAGTTAGTGGATGAAGGAGTCAGATTTGATCTTAGTGAAGCTGGAGCAATGATTGCTCATTTTCAGGTTAAGTCAGATTTGTTTGATAAGATAAAAGCAGCTCAGAAGAATGATGAGTCACTACTCAGGATCAGAAATGAGGTTGAGCAGGGTAAGGCTGCAGGTTTTGTGATAGGTGATGATGATGTACTGAGATATAGAGATAGGCTTTGTGTACCTGATGTAGATGATCTGAGGAGAGAATTGATGGTAGAAGCACATCAGACAGTTTACACAATGCATCCAGGTTCCACCAAAATGTATAAAGACCTTAAGGTATGTTATTGGTGGAATAGGATGAAGGCTGATGTAGCAGACTTTGTTTCTAGGTGTTTGACCTGTCAGAGGGTAAAGGGTGAACACCAGAAACCTCCTGGATTGTTGCAACCATTGTTGATTCCAGAATGGAAGTGGGAAAGGATCACAATGGACTTTGTGACAGGATTGCCTAGGAGTCAGGAGGGTTATGATTCGATATGGGTGGGAAAGGAGCACAATGGACTTTGTGACAGGATTGCCTAGGAGTCAGGAGGGTTATGATTCGATATGGGTGATTGTTGATAGGTTGACAAAATCAGCCCATTTTCTGCCAGTTAAGATTACTAATCTGTAATTTATTATATTTTTAAGGGTCAAATTGTAACTTAATCCATTTGGAGGACCAAACTAAACTTATCATAAATCCATGAATATACTGAAATTCTGACCATAACCAATCCTCATTTCTGTCCAGATCATCTCATTATACTCCAGGGACCATTCTGGAATTTTATCAAATTTTTAGGGTTAAATGGTAATTTTTGTCAAATTGAAGGACCAAATTGAAAGTGTTAAAATTTCATAACTATACAGGAATTCTGCCCATAATTTATCTTTTGTTCTGTTCAGAATCTCGGAATATGCCCCAGGGACCAATCTGTAAATTTTCCAAAGTTTGGGGACTAAACTGTAATTTCCACAAATTATATCATGAAGTTGATTTTGTTATTAATACTGCGTTGAACTCTGATTGAGTTAGGATAAATTTGTATGTAAGTTTGGGTTCGCATAGGTACGGAACCTTGGAGGGGAACCTTGCCTATGTGCCGGTCATGGATCCGGAATTCGGGTCGTGACACTAACACATAAATTTACTTGGAGTCCCTATTTGTTTTATTATAGGCCAGAATTAACTATCATTTTGAGTATAATTTACTTTTCTTTTCTTTTCTTTTTTCCAAATGAGCATAGCAGTTTTTAAGTGCATCCATAGCATTCCAAGTTAATTCTTAGAAATAATTATAAAAATCTCTTATAGTTTAATCATGTTTTTATTTCACTTTTTATATTTTTAAAAATTACACTTTATATCTTATAATTCATAAATTAATAAAAGTGCATCCATAGCTTGTTTTCTAAGGGGAAGGAATTGGATGTTGACAAAGAAAGAAGTGGAAAAGTTTGAAGGATAGCTAAAAGCACGGGATGCGAGCAAGAAATGGCAAGTAATTATTGAGAAATGGAAAAAGTGAAAGTGTTTGGTGATGGTAATTATACAATGTTTGTTATTATAAAATATTATTTTTTAAAATAATTTTGGTTTAAAAATATATTAAAATAATACTTCTTATTATTTTTTAAAATTTATTTTTTAAAAAAAATTATTTTTGATATAGGTGTATTAAAATGATTCAAAAACATAAAAAAATCAATTAAAAGCCAAGAAAAAAATTTAAATTTTTTAAAAGTGTGTTCCAACCACAAAAACAAACATTGTCTTGCTTATGCTATAAATCTCTTTTTAATAGTGAATAAGCAAATGTTTTTTACTATGTTGCGGGTTTGGTTAAGTTTTTCCTAAATAATAAAAGATGTGTAGGCAATGATAACCCCAATCCATACAGGTTAACTTGACTAATACGCGACATATGATATAAGATCAAGATTACCTTAAAAAAAAAAGGTAAAAAAAAAATAACAAAGCTCAAAGCCTAATAACCTATCGTTAAATAATAAAATTTAAAAAAAATAAATTTTAAAAAAAATAACATTAAAAAGAAAAACCGAGTCAACTTAAGTTAACTTAACCAACCTACCATCCACAATATGAGATAAAGATAAAAAAAAATTAAAAAGAATCTAGAATAAAAAATTAAAGTTAAATAAAAGAAACATTGGATGACCCCACATAAAAAGTGAAAGAATCACAAAGCTCAAGAGTAAACAACAACGAAAAAATTAATTTTTTAAAAATAATTCGAGAAAAAAAAAACTTTAAGTCAACTCGGATTAATTTGATTAACCTTCCATTTAGGATATAAAATCAAGATAAATTCAAAAAAATAAAAGTTGAACAAATAATAAAGTTCAAGCTCCAATAACCCAATGTCAAATGATAAAATTAAAAAACAAATTAGTAAAGGATAAAAAAAAAAACCTAACTTAATTTGAGTTAATATTCAAAATTAACCAATGATTCAAATCATGAGAATATATTTATCGTACGAAAAGGTAAACACACAAAAAAATTTACGAAGTAAAATTTTTAATTATAATTTTTTTTAAAAACAAACAGTAATTAATATAATAAGTATCAAATATGGTATAAAAACTAAATGAAAAAAATAATAATTAGGGACTAAATTATAAAATAAAATAAAAGAAGGAAAATTTTTTTTTTTTAAAAAAAAAAGCTATTATTTTATAAAGAAATTAAATGAAATAAAATATTAAGAGTTAAAAATAAAAAAAATAAATCAAGA